TGAATCAGTTTTTCTCCATTGAATTATCTATTTATTGTTCCTTTTATTTGCTCTTTTACAGTTTTTACTTTTTGCTTATGACAAAAAAGGGGGAGAAAATAAAGATATGAACTATTTAATATAACTTCACTAGAATGAATCTTCAGACATATCTATTCTATCTAATATCTAAATTGACTATTTCAGATCATTTGATAAGAACATTCTATAAAAGAATCTCTGAGTCTCTCAGATCATTTATCTTTTATCAACTCTGAATCTTATATCTGCAAGATATTCTGACCCTAAATTGTTATAAGAACAAACAAGATCTAACTCTGAAGATTACTCAAGATAAAAGGGAAGTTTCTATTCCTTTTTCATATTTAACTCAGGGGGAGATTCATCATCTCAGGGGGAGTTATAATTCTTTATGTTCAGTTAAATAAAATTTCTGATACTTTTTGTCATCATCAAAAAGGGGGAGATTGTTAGAACACAGATTGGTTCTTAATAATAACTCTTTGTTTTGATGATAACTGTTAGGAAATTTATATTTAAGAATTATATACTCTAAAATTTGTTTGAGAGTGTTACTGCAGATTGAATTGAAATTAACTCTCTAGAAGCAAATCTATTTTGGATACAAGAAGTTATCCTGACTCTGAAGCGCCAGATGCATCTTACAGAAGAATCTGATTGCTCCTTACAGAAGATCTTGAGCGTAGTCTCCAGAAGGATCTGAAGCAAGAAGCTCCAGAACATTCTGAGTCAGAAGCATCTGAAGATAATCAGAAGCATCTGAAGCTGAAACATCTGAAGCATAGAAGAATCTTGATTGAAGAGTTTCTCAAAGCATTAGTCTACAGAAGTTTCTGAAAGTACCAACGCTGTCAAGTACTGAAGTTCTGTGTCAAAGATGCTCTGATGATCAACACGCTGAAAGCACACCTGCTGCAGAAGACTATGATATAACAAAGTTCTGAATTTCATTAGAAGACTCTGATCCATTCAGATTCTGAAGAACTTGCTAAAAACTGAAGAACAAGTATTCAAGAATATATCCGTTGGATTTATTCAACGTCTCTTTCCTCATTTGTGCTAGACACACTTACACAGACAAAAAGGATTTTTCTGTGCCATCTACTTCTAGGAAAGGTCACTTGATGTGAAGACAAAAAGGCTCAGACCTTTTGGGACTCTCTTTTCAACGCTCAGCTTGCTTGGATCAGCTGCCTATAAAAGGAAAACTTCACCATATTCTTCAGTTACACAATTTGCTGAAAAGAAATCTTTATATTCTAAGCTCTCTTTCATTCTTATTCTTCTTAGAATTTATTGTACTTAAACTTAAGAGAAAAATCACTGTTGTGATAAAAGCTTTATAGAAGCATCAATACTCTTGTATTTAATTTACATTGATTGTAAAGGTTATTCCTTAAGAGCATTCAGTTGGAATCAGTAGCTCTTGAGAAGACTAAGAACTGTTGTTCTTAGGTGTTACTATTGTAATCAGTTTGATTTAATAGTGGATTAAGTCCTTGTTGAGAAAGGCAAATCACTATAGGAAGGGTGGACTGGAGTAGTTGTTTAAACGAACCAGGATAAAAATAATTGTGTGATTATTTTCAAAGTATTAATTTTTCATACTTATTCAACCCCCCCCCCCCCCCCCCTTCTAAGTATTATCTCACCTTCACATCTCATCCAGCTGAAGTGTGGAGAACATTTGGGAATACATGATATCGACCAAACTTCCCTGGTCGACTAGAATTCACCGAACATCGAAGTTAGCCATCTCCGCCCTTATGAGCGGGGGAATACTGGAGTTGGGGCCTCCACCGAGGAGTCCCTTGCAATAGAAGGTGATGGGAAATGAATCTCCTTGGACCTTGTCGAGGGTAGAACTTCGGCTCGAGCTTGTGTTGATGAGGTGCTCAAATTTCCTCTTTACGGACCCCACGGTCACCATGTTGAATCCTCCGCCTAATATGACAATGGTGGAGGGGAAGGCTTCCCAGGGGCTATGCGCGGCGAAGTATAGCGAGACTTTGATCCCATCGAGGACATAAAAATCTCCAGTTCACGAGATGCTCATGGCGTCCTGAAGGCTGGTATCGTCCGCGAATGGTGCTTCTTCCTCGATTATCTTTTACTCCTGGGCGTCTTGTCGAGGAGTGTCTTTCCTCTTCACAAACCGCTTCAGGTGCCCGTCCCTGATCGAGATCTCAATTTCATCATTGAGATGGATGCAGTCGTCAGTCGTGTTCCTGTGGCTCTTGTGAATCCGACAATACTTTGTTTTATTCGTGTTCGGTTTGGCCGGTATTTGCTTTGGGAATCAGACCCATGCCTGCCGGAACTCAGAATTCGCACACTCTAAGAGAATCTTCATGAACGATATTGTCAGTGGCAGGTACTCGTGGAAACGGCCATATGGACCTTTCGATCTCAGGATTCCCAGGGGCGGTCATCCCTTCTTTTTTCGACTCCCAAACGAGATGACAAGGGGTCGTCGTGCCTTGAGAACCTGACGTTCTCCTGGCGCCTTAAGTCCCGGGAAGTGTTTGCTGCTTCCCTTTCTTCATACTAGATATACACCTGAGGCTTGAGGAGGAGGGTGTCCAGTGTTGTTGGGGTTTCGATGCCAACTGCCTTGGCAAAGTCGTTGCGGCGACGGAGCCCGCGCTCCAGCAAATATTTTTTCATGCTGTCAATCTTGGGGACCTAAATGGCTTCTTTATTAAATCTTTTGATGTATGCTCGAAGAGATTCTTCTCTTCCCTGAATGATAGTGTCTAGGGAGACTTCTGTCTTTGGGTGACGGTGAGAGGCCGTAAAACGTCTCGAGAACAGCCTCATCAACTGCCTCCATGAGGTGATGGATTCGTAAGGGAGGCTCTTGTATCAGAACATTGCTTGCTTCCTCAGTTTTATCGGGCACAACTTGCATTTGATGGTGCCTCAAACGCCGCGGTAGACGAGAAGGGAAATAATGTTCTCATGCTCGTCGGTATCAGTTGTGCGATCATATGTGCCCAGGTGTGAGGGTTTCTCCAGCCCTCAAGGTAACCAAGTGGCCATGATCTTCTGGGATAATGGTCGTCGAGGCTCTTCGTCGTCACTGTAGCTGCCCGGCCGCGAACGTGAGTGGGCGTCTCTACTGGGTTGAGGACCGCGATCTCGACGAGAAGAAAGTGTTCGTGACCGGCCCTTAGGTCTGGGCAGAGGTAAACATCGGCTTTTTGCCCGCAGGTCTTTTCTTGTTCTTTTGGCCCTTGGGAAGTGCTGGTTCCGGAGAGGAGTATAGTCGTGTTTCTTCATTGGCATGGATTTTGGCTCTGCTGGCATCTGGAAACTCCTTCTGTGTCGAGGGGAAGGGTGTCGGGACCTTTGGTGCTCACGTCTTGGTGGAGGAGATCTTGGACGGTGGATTTCTTCCAATGCTCCAATTATTGCGTTCTGTTGGAGGATCAGAAGGTTCGTCTTGTTGACGGCTTCGACGAGAGCTACCATGGTCGGGTAGGACTTGGACGGAACTGGGATAGGATGATGGTCCACTGAGTGTTGGACCTCTATGTTGTTGTCGCGACCCGAGGGGAATGCAGGTGTTGAGAGCATCGTAGACATTATCACGGTTGGCCATGATCGGAATTTTGAAAAGTTGCTTTGGTCTTTGGTTTTCGGGGAAAGAAAGACGGGGAAAACAGAAGTTCCCACAGACGGCGCCACTGATCTCGACTGTTAATCAGAACCTGAAGTAGGGCAAAGACTTCGTTTATGATGATGGATATCAAGGAGGAGGAGGTGTACTTGCAAGACACTCCAATGCTAAAGTAAGAATCGGGATATGAGAAGGCAAGAACAAAGTAAGTGTTTCTTAGGATGATTATTGGATATCTGACCCTCTCAAAGGAGAGTGTTTTGATAATGCTCCCAACGCTTGGCCATTGAACCATATTTTTGGACAAAGATAACCATTCCCCAAAAATAGGTAACTATCAGAAACTAGTCGTTGAGACGTGCATATGTGCTTGGACCTAGTTGTTGCTTTGAGCAGGGGTGTGGTCGCGGGCAAAAGCGTTGTGGCCATTCCTGAATGGTTGAATCGTGCGTGACGGGCAGAGATGTAACAAAGATAGCTAATCCTGGGGGTCAGCTGGTCAACCCTCGTTGACTGAGGGGCAGAATGAAAAATGCTTTCCACTGCCCTTAACTGGCAGGACATAGGCTATTGAGCAGCTTTGGGTGCATAATTGGATTGGGTCATGCTTAGTCATTGAACCAGTCCGGAACAGAAAGCAAACATTCACATTGAAGATTGGACCACACTATGTTTCAATAATTTGGCATATTTGTAGGTTTATCTTGTTGAATTGTAGATTCAACATCTTTATGTACATCTCTATGTTTCAGTAACTTGGCATAAAAGGTTTGTCTAGTTGAGTTGTAATATTCAACATTGAAAATTGGGTGAAACACCAATTACTAGAGTTTAGTGATTGAGAGAAAGTGAGAGAGATTTTCATATTTAGCGGGATTCCTAAATAGAAAGTCATTAGGTTGTGTTAGGAAGAGGCATTGAAGAACATATGGATTGTTATTGTTTTAAGACTAATTTTGTTAAACTACTAATAGTGAATTTCCTTTCTTAAATTGGAGGTCAACCCTCCCAACGTAGATGTTGGTGCATTAAACTGAATTACTATTTATTATATTATTTATTACTTTTCTGCTTCATCATCTTGTAAAATTAAATTTGTGTAAATTGCGATGATTATTTTTTAACTTGTCGAATCAATTGTCTAAAACCCCGTTTTCGACATCTATAGCCTGAGAGACATAACTTCAAGTAATGAAGTTGAAGCATGAGTAATTAAAATATCGAAATTAACAACAATATTACAATATGATAATGATACATGAGACGAGAAGAGAAATTAGAGATTGTGCATATCTCAAACAACAATAACTCACAATACATTAGTTACACAGGTTTCCTTGCCTCACAAATTCTTAATCTATTTTAATAGACCAGCAAGTATTCCAGCGACAGCTTTGTAATATGCAAGTTGTTGTTCTTTTGAGGGCAAACATTCCTTAACCATTGGATGGTTGTGAAATTCTCGACTCCATTTATGTAGTTTTGGTAATTTCTCACTTGTGAATAACTGAAACTCTGCTACTTCTTGCAGTAAAGGGATAAAGAGAGCAGCAATATCCACAATACCAATCTCTTTTCCTCCAAAGTACTTGTCCTTCAACTCATTCTCAAGAAACTGTAAAACATTCAATAATTCTTCACTAGCCTTCTTGCGTTCTTTCTCATCAACCAAAAATACAGATTTCAATGCGGCTGCCACACACTGATTCCAAAAAATCAAAGTCACATATTTAAAAAAATAACATCGTGAAGAGTATTGATGCATGAACTAGAGTTACTTACCTTATCATCTATGAACTTGGACCAAAATCGAGCCACGGCTCTTTGGTACGGATCAGAAGGAAAGATTGAATTTTCTTTCCATGTCTCATCAATGTACTCAAGAATCACAAAGGATTCTGATATAGGCTTCTCATTGTGCACAAAAACAGGAATCTTTTTATAAACTGGGTTGTATTTGAGGAGAAGTTCACTTTTGTTGGCCAAGTTTTCTGGAATAAATTTGTATTCAATTCTCTTCAATGCCAAAGCAATTTGAACTCTTATCACAAATGGGCTTCCCACAGCACCCAAAAGCTTCACATCTTCTTCAGATGCAGCTATTGCACCACAGCCTTGAAGCACTCTCTTGAGCTTGGCAACTAATGTACTAATCATAGTAATAAATTGTCTCCCTTAATATAAATGCTTGCAGTGTAATTGAAAATTGTTACTGAATGTGTTCTTTATATAGATTCAAGAAGAATAATTTAAGTGACAAGCATTCTAATCTTTTCAAAAGAACCAACACAAAGTATAGCGTGAGATGTGAGACTCCACTTCAAACCAAACCATAGTAATATTCAAAGGATGGAGTCATATGTTTTACATTGTTTACAATATAAAACAATGATTCTTGTTACATTGATATGAGACTCATATGGTGCTACAAGGAAAGAAAAGAACAGGATTCAAAAAAACAAGAGGGAAATAAAAAACTGATTTTTGTTAAAAAAAACCCAATTTCGTAACATATCTAGGTTTCAAATATTAAATAATAAATATACCAATTCATGTAGTAGTATTTTTAAACTAATTAAGTAATGTGTCAAGAGTCCTCTTTTGTTTATAATAAAGATCTCCTTCTCAGGATAGTGAATATTATTTTTTGGTTGACATCGCAAGAAACAAACTTGGTAAGGATATTAACAACTAGAAAGTAAGTGTTGACATAATTTGGTGTTATCAAATATCTGCAATTGTGGCACTATGTGGGATTTATATGGCGATATTTAGACTGGACACAATGGTAAATATCAGTTGATATTGTGAATTTTTCTATCATATATAATCTGCTGTAACAATGACACAAAGATTGATATGCTTAGCATGTTTACTAAAAACATGATTTGCAGCTATTTGAATGACATTTGTATTGACAACTTAAAGTGATATTAAATTAGTTTGAGAAAATTTGAATTCATTTAAAAGACAACCGAGCAAAATGACTCGATACAAGATTAAATAGAAGATATATAAACTCTTACTTGCTTTTAAATTTTAATGAGATCAATGAAGGGTTGAGATCAGTGAAGGGTCTAGAAATGTGCACCGATCGACATCACTATAAAACTCCAATTTAATTAGGAGTTATATCAATGGAAAAACATAGACCATCATGAATGACCATGTTGAATGGTTCCTTTTAAAGTATAGAATTATACAAAAAAACCGCGACAAAGTGGAATAGAAGTGAAGAACGCATGTATTTACTTGTAGTATAAATAGATATGGTATAGTAAGTAACAGTCAAATCGTTAAGATTAATAAAACCATTCACATCCATACTACTTAAATTGGTATTATAAATAGACTCCACTTAATTTAATATATTTCTTTTATATTTTTCAATTATTTAAACAACTTAAATATATTTTTTAAATGCTCATACCACTCGTTTAAAATTTTAAATTGGACCCCATTAAAAATTACTAAATAAACTAATATTTTAAAAAAAATATCAAAATGGTTATGTTTGGAAGAGGAGTCGTCATATGAAATGACAAATCAAGGTCTTCCAGACCTGATTCGCCATTTCATATGGCGCATGGACTTTAAATTGTATGCTCTACTCTATACTGAGTCGCTATATGGGATGACGCATCAGTTATAGGATATTTTTTTTTAATATTTAATTTTTGTTTAAAAAACACATATAAAAACAAATTTTTAATATTTTGTAAAAAAATTTAAAAAATAACAAATTTTGTAAGAATATTTACGGCATATCATATTTTACCTGTACTATTTTATTTTTCTATTAATAAGACTGCACACTCAGATATTTTTTCACAACAATTTTTATCAATAGACTAAAGTCTTCATAATTTTGAAATCATTTTAGAATGTCTGCATTTCTAAATCAACGTTCATCGTCGTCGTCGTCATCATCGGAGGAACCGTTTCCAACATTTCCTCTAATGAAAAGAAATGCCCTAGTTTATTTTTGAACAACAAAGCCTCCGATGAATGTGCTACTATGGAATACGCAGACTTTGGAGCATTTGCATAAGGAACTGAACCGCTGGCTAGAAAGAGATATTATTGCAGGGAAAAGATTAGGAAAATTGAGAGGTTGGTTGAGGAGTCAGTGAGAAATGGAGTTACTCGTGATTGGAGAAAAGTGGAAAATGATGTTGGTGTCCTTGTGATGATGTTAACACCAAAGAAGATTACCTTGATGGTTGTGATATCACTATGCCAAAAATTGCCTTTAGCAGCGCTTTTTTTGACCTTTAGCAGCGCTTTAAAGCGCTGCCTAAAGTGGCGCTGCTAAAGGTAAAGGCAGCGCTTTTTTTTATGGAAAAAGCGCTGCTAAAGGTATCACTTTTAGCAGCGCTTTTTTACCCCTTTAGCAGCGCTTTCAAAGCGCTGCCTATTCTCCCTCCCCCTCCCCCCCTGTAGCAGCGCTTTATGAAAGCGCTTTTGTAGACCACCCTTTAGCAGCACTTTTTTAAAGCGCTTTCTTAGACCCCTCCTTTCCTAACCTATAGCAGCGCTTTTTTATGCCTATTTTTCTCCCTTTAGCAGCGCTTTCTTGTAAAAGCGCTGTCTATACTTCACGTTTTTTAAATTTTTTTTTTTTAAAAATCACATTTTTTATATATTTTTAGACAAACCTGCTTATAACAATTAAATTCCCTGCTTATAATTCAGGCCTTAAATATAGCTTGGCCTTTAAACATTGTAATTCAACACTTGGCCTTTAATTCAACACAATATAACTAAACATTGTACATTATACAATAACACTTTGCAATTTACACATAATTAACTCAAGTATAATTTACACATAATTTAAACATTGTACATTATACAATATACAATATACAATATACAATATACAATTTACACATAATTACAAATCCAATATACATTATAGAATTCTTAACTCAATCATAAATTGACACCATTCTTCCTTAATTTCTTCCAATTTTACTTTCGAGTACGTAGCGCATTTGAATTCATCAAAATACTACATAATATAACAGAACAAGCACGATTTAATACTAATTACTCAGATGAAATATTAGTTAATTATCAAAATGAATCATATAACTCATGAATTGATCCATACCATGATTGGAATCTCTAATTGACCAGAAAGAATGATTTCCTTCATAAAGCGCAGTACAAAATATCCGCAGTCAATCCCACCACGCTGACGAGGACACTGTATTAGGAAAAAAGCGAACGAACATTTATCAGGATATATAGTTTAAATATTTTTATAAGTAGAACCACTATAACAGTCAAACATGGGAAAATATACCTCCACTCTGATCCAGTTGATGTTGCTAGCCCTGCTTTTTGGCACTGTTGCATCTCTCTGTGCTCTGTATATTTGTATAACTCTAACATAATATAAACACATATTTAGAACAATGTCACATAATAAATAAACATATATAATTATTCAGAACACTATATATCATCACTTACGTATCAACCATGTTCTTCAGATTTTCATATTTGTTTGTATCGCCATCCAATGAATCTATATAATACACTATTTCTTTAATCGGATTAATTGCGACCAACAACCAGTGACCACTATAAAATAAGACAACAGTTTAGACGGAAATGTTATATAATATGGCAAAAATCGAACAATTATAATAAATGAATTTAGAATAAAAACTAACCCATGGCCAGTATTATATGGCAACATAAACAACTTCTCCGTATTCGCACCCATAAATCTCTGGACTGTGTACTCTTTGACTGCTTCTCGTGTCTGGTCTATTGTCCGTGAGTTGACACTGCTAGGAGATAAGAATGCGAATACTGAAGTCAAATCAGCGGGGACCAACAACTTGTCATACAAGCGCCTAAAAAAAATATAATCAACATTAGATTATTCAGTTAAACGAGCGAATTTTAAAATGTTCAATTATCTAATTAAAATGGATCGAAGTACCTGATGTAGGAATGCATAACCCCGACGCCCAATTCTAAATGTTTGAAAACCTGGTCGAAATCCTCCTTAGCAAGTGTTTCGGAATATTCAAAACCGAAAATACCTTGATCCATATGTATTAGACGGATGCCGCCCTCAGGCACGTCTGTTGTCCCTACATATGTTTGAAGGCACGACCTAAATTGAGGAACAATTGCTCTTTTTGTCTCGACCTTTTTTTTGGGCACCTTGGAAGTTTCAGGCATGTTTCCCTTGCTGACTTGTTGTGACTGCTGATCAAGAACCTAAAAGTCATATATAAGTTCAGTAAATAATTTATAATAAAATAATCACTTAAATTGTAGTACTAGTACCTGTAACTTTGATGCAGCTGAATCGGTATCCCGCACAATAATTTTATCATCTTTTGTTTTGGATTTTGTGGGAGTCTAAGATCATCATGTCAATAAGAAAGTGTAAATGTCAGAATAACTTTCATGTATGGGTAATAAAACATTGGAATATTACAAGGTTCAACCTACCTCATCATCCATGAAAATGAGATTCGCCGGCCATGCTACATAAGCTCCTATCGCGTCTCCCACCACTGTTGCGTCTGATACATCGTCTCGCATAGGCAACAACGCCCCCCCCCCCCCCTCTAATGCAATATCAACAGATACTTTCAAAAATCCAGCAGGGAGGGGTTTATGGTGAAGTAAGTCTCCCAGGGTGTTATGCACCTTTTCCTTGCCAACCATGCGATAAGTCGGCGACGATAAATATAGTCGACAAGGTGAAATGCCCTAAACAAATAATGATAAGTTAATGTGTCAATTAAGAAAAATGTGCTAAATTAATTTCAATGTAATATATACAATTACCTCTGGAAGCTTCTGCGGACAACCGATACTATCTTTGTCACTAGTAGCTTTACCGGCCTCTGGAGCGCGCCTTTCGGACATGTATCTCTCCTTATCCTTTTGTAATTCACGAATTTGAGCTTTCATTTCCTCCAAAGTAGCCATCACTTCTTTATTGGTTGGATTTTTTTTCCTTGGCTGCTTATACAGTTTGGATGGAGTGACACCAAATCTCTTGCCCCTCACACGCCCAGAGTACTCAGGAATATTCAACACCCGACTCAATAAACTCCTGCAATCATCGTCTTCAGTAGGAGTTATAGTCTGGGATAGGGACTCCTGAAATATAGATAAAA